AAAAATAAAAAATAAATAAAAAACTCTGCCACTCCTCCCCCTAAGGAATGTGATTTAAATTGATCTGGGGTGGGGCCTGGACTTCGGGATTTTTTTTTTAAAGCTTCTCACATCATTCACCTAATGTACAACTAAGTTTGTAATGCACAACTCTTTTGTACAACCATTAAAGCAGAGAGTGGTAAATAAGAGCAAATTGGAGTTTTGAAAAAAGACAGTAACTTTTCAGAGGTAGTGATGATGCCAGAGAGAGTTTCTAGCATGAGCAGCTGGGTGGATGGAAGAGGATAGCCGTATCATTTAATAATAAAAGGGGCAAATTAAAGGAAGAGCACATATGAGAGAGAACATCAACAGTTTAATTCTGAAACATCCAGGGCCAAAATTAAGTAGCTATGTGGATATATGAGTCTGGAGCCTTGAAGAGAGTTCTAGAATAGGGGTGTAAGCTTAGGAATCAGGCACATAGATGGCATTTGAGGCCAGAGGTATAAATAAGATGACCTAGGGAGAGGGCCAGGTGCGGTGGCTCATTCCTGTAATCCAGCACTTTGGGAGGCCGAGTGGGCAGATTGCTTGAGTTCGAGACCACCCTGGTCAACAAGGTGAAACTTTTCTCTACTAAAAGTACAAAAATTAGCCAGGTATGGTGGTGTGTGCCTGTAATCCGAGCTACTCAGGACGCTGAGGCAGGAGAATTGCTGGAACCCGAGGCAGAGGTTGCAGTGAGCAGAGATTGCATCACTGCACTCCAGCCTGGGTGACAGAGTCAGACTCTGTCTCAAAAAAAAAAGAAAAGAAAAAGAAAAGTTGGAATAAGAAGGTAGAGCTAGAGGTGGAAAAGGAAAACCTGGAGACTTTTGTATCTTGGAAGCCAAAGTATTTCCAGAAGGAGGGAATGGGCAGCTGTAACAGACACCCTGAGATGTCACATAGCATGAGGTCTAGAAAGAACCAATGTATTTGGCTGGGCGCAGTGGCTTAAATCTGTAATCCCAGCACTTTGGGAGGCGAGGCAGGCAGATCACCTGAGGTTGGGAGTTCGAGACCAGCCTGACCAACATGGAGAAACCCTGTCTCTACTAAAAAATAATACAAATATTAGCAGGGCGTACATTCCTGTAATCCCAGCTACTCGGGAGGCTGAGGCAGAAGAATTGCTTAAAACCAGGAGGCAGAGGTTGTGATGAGCCAAGATTGTACCATTGCACTCCAACCTGGGCAACAGCGAAACTCCGTTTCAAAAAATAAAAAATAAATCCAGCCTGAACCCAGGAGGCGGAGGTTGCGGTGAGCCGCGATCGCGCCATTGCACTCCAGCCTGGGTAACAAGAGTGAAACTCCGTCTCAAAAAAAAAAAAAAATAAATAAATCCAATGAATGTGTCAGCTTGGGTGCCACTGGCGACAATATCCAAAGCCGTTTTGGCAAGGCAAATGGAAGGTAAGGAAGTAGTAGCCATGTGTGGGGACATATTTTTCTCTGAAGGAAAATAAAGAACCAAGGTCCTAGCTGGAGGAATACAGGGAATGTTTTGGGTTTTTATTTTTTAATCTTATTTTCAAATAACTTTAAAACTGCAGACGAGTTGCAAAACTTAGTAAACTTAGTAAAGCAGAAGAAACACGCCATGTGAGAACTCAGATGTGCACACATGCAGGAAGAGTTTCTTCCAGAGACTTAAGCACTATGCTGAATGATAGGAGATGGGGGAGGGCATGGGTTAGGGATCTGAGGATAGTGGAAAGAGTTTGGAACAGCCACTGTGAGAAACAGACCTATCCAGGCAGCTTGTATGAAGGATCACTAGCACGGGGCTCCGGTGGAGTTAGAAAGCCTGAATCAGAACAGTGGAATGTCTTTCTCTAACAACTTACATATCCCCTCAGGGTGGGAGATGAGAGGTTGGTCCACCACCTGGTTAAAATGAATGACCCTAGGGCCCAAGCTGGGTGAGAAGGCAATGAAGCCAGGATAAACTGCTAGCCTAGAAGAATAGGATGGAGTCCAAGGAGTTGGCGCTAGCATGATGAGTTCTCAACCTTGGCTGAACATCAGGATCACCTGGGATACTTAAAAATAACAACAAAACAAAAAACTCCACCATTCCTACCTCTAAAGAATGTGATTTAAATTGGTCTGGGGTGAGGCCTGGACTTTGGGATTTTTTTTTAAAGCTCCCCACATCATTCACCTAATGTACAACCAAGCTGGTAATGCACAACTCTTTTGTACAACTATTAAAGCAAAGAGTGGTAAATAACAGCAAATTGGAGTTTTGAAAAAAACAGCAACTTTTCAGAGGTCGTGATGACGCTAGAGAGACTAGGAGGGAAAATTATAAATGAATGGCTGAAAACACCAAATTAAATGGGTGGGGGACTTGAGTGATTAGTGATATGAGCAGAGGACTTGGAGCCAAATGAGGAAAAGTTGTTGACCTGGGATGAGATAATGGGCTACGGCCTGGAGGATGCAGCAGCTGGAAGTGAGGAAACCATCGCTGCTCCCTCCCGCCCTGAGAGATGGAGAAGTAGAGAAGGCGGGGTCCATAAAAAGGCTGGGACAGAGAGGTTGTCCCCTAAAATGTCAGATTTCCGCCATGGCCAGAAGAGTAATCGAGACAAGACCTTGAAAATATGTTTCTTCCTCTTAGAAACTGACTTTATCAGCTGGGCGTGGTGGCTCACGCCTGTAATCCCAACACTTTGGGAGGGCAAGACAGGCAGATCACCTGAGGTCAGGAGTTCGAGACCAGCCTGGCCAACATGGTGAAACCCCATCTCTACTAAAGTATAAAAATTAGCCAGGCGTGATGGTGAGTGGCTGTAATCCCAGCTACCAGAGGGCTGAAGCAGGAGAACACTTGAACCCAGGAGGTAGAGGTTGCAGTGAGCCAAGATCGTGCCATTGCACTCCAGCCTGGGCAACAGAGCCAGACTCCGTCTCAAAAAAAAAAAAAAAAAAAAAGAGAGAGAGAGAAAAAGAAAGAAACTGACTTTATCCAGGCTGGCTTGGTAGATGCTGCCAGAACGGAGTCCATGCTCACCCCTTTTGTTGTAGGCCTGTGTCTGTGGCACAATTCTGTGTGGTCTCAACTATCCTTAGCTTTACCCCTCTTCACTGGGAAGCGGAGAGCATCACTTGAGCCCAGGAGTTCTCTAATCCAACCTGGGCAGGTATCATTACCCCATCTCTAAAAAAAAGGAAAAAGAAAAACCAGTGTCACTTGCTATAAATAGGAAGTAGGAAGTAAATATTAAAATAAATACAATGAGAACAAAATGATTTAAGTGATAGCTAGATACAGTTGTCTCCTGATAGTTGAGTCTGGGGCCTATACTTTCCTTGTTAAAACGAGTGATTTCAGCCGGGCGCGGTGGCTCACGCCTGTAATCCCAGCACTTTGGGAGGCCGAGGCGGGTGCATCACGAGGTCAAGAGATCGAGACCATCCTGGTCAACATGGTGAAACCCCGTCTCTACTAAAAATACAAAAAATTAGCTGGGCATGGTGGTGCGTGCCTGTAGTCCCGGCTACTCGGGAGGCTGAGGCAGGAGAATTGCCTGAACCCAGGAGGCGGAGGTTGCGGTGAGCCGAGATCGCGCCATTGCACTCCAGCCTGGGTAACAAGAGCGAAACTTCGTCTCAAAAAATAAAAAAATAAAAAACGAGTGATTTCATGTTGAGTAGATTGAGGAAGAACAAAAAAGAGTGATTGGTACAAATTAGAGGAAAGCTAAAGACTATTGGCACCCAACAAAGGCTTTCTTCTTGGTCTAATCACAAATGAAAGGGAACCAAAAAAAAAACAAATCACTTTTTCATTAGGAAAGATGAGTAGTTTAGGTGGTACATGGACAGTCCTTTAGTTATATAAGTAAGCAGAGGGGGAGAGAGCCTCACCTGGTGTGAGCCCCCAGGACGTGATCAATCTCTTTATTTAGCCAATGTGAGCAGGAAGCTCCCCAACGTTTGCCTTTGTAGGAAGTAGGAAACACCCAAGGCCCACCACATCATACTTCCCCTTAACTGGCTCTATCAAAAGACTCCAGTGTATGCAAGATAAGAAAGAAAATCTTTCAAAAAGTCAAAAACTACATTACCAATATCTTTTTTTTTTTTTTCCCGGAGACAAGGCCTCACTCTGTTGTACAGGCCAGAGTGCAGTGGTACAATCACCGCTCACTGCAACCTCTGCCTCCTGGGCTCAAGCCATCCTCCCACCTCAGCCTCCGTAGCTGGGACTACAGGCATATGCCACCGTGCCTGGCTAATTTTTGTATTTTTTGTAGAGATGGGGTTTTTTGTTTGTTTGTTTGTTTGTATTTTTTGTAGAGACGGAGTTTCACTCTTGTTACCTAGGCTGAAGTGCAATGGCACGATCTCGGCTCACCGCAACCTCCGCCTCCTGGGTTCAGGCAATTCTCCTGCCTCAGCCTCCTGAGTAGCTGGGATGACAGGCACGCGCCACCATGCCCAGCTAATTTTTTATATTTTTAGTAGAAACGGGGTTTCACCATGTTGACCAGGATGGTCTCCATCTCTTGACCTCGTGATCCACCCACATCGGCCTCCCAAAGTGCTGGGATTACAGGCGTGAGCCACCGTGCCCAGGGAGATGGGGTTTTACCATGTTGCCCAGGCTGGTCTCAGACTCCTGGGCCCAAGCAATCCACCCACCTCGGCCTCCCAAAGTGCTGAGATTATAGGCCTGAGCCACTGCACCAGGCCCATTGTGAATATCTTAATACTATTTTTGACCCTGTCAGTACCTTCACCATGGGATACAGAGTCAGTAAGTTGAAGAAACTCACTGCAAGAGACAGAGACCCACACAGTTATGGGGTGTGAAGTTCACACTTAATGAAGATAGCCACCACTGCTGAAGTTGACATGTCACTACTGTTATGAAGTAAGAAGTTTGGGAATGTACTCACGCATACACACACACACACACACACACACACAAATGGAGAGACAGTCTTGCGAAGGGGGCAACAGCAAGTAAGCAGTGTCTTCACTCTATCTTTTGGTGCCCCACATACTACCTTCCTAGCTTAGCAACCTTCCTAGCGTGGCAGATGAGGTGTACTAGGATGAAAGGGAAGATTCAAGTCTGAGGTGTGGCTCCATCCGCCTCCGTGTGAACCTGTGCCAACCAGCACACAGCCGTGAGAGCCTTCAGAGGGATGCATGTTACACACATGTCCAGTTAAAGGATATAAAGATAGTTGGACTCCCTTCCTCTCTCCTCCCTTGAAATCTTCCAGAAGCGACACAAAAAGAAAGCAAAGCAAAAACACAGAAAAGGTCCCATTTTTAATGAAACAAAGAAACTCTCAGAACTTCAAACCACAAACCATGAGAAATACCTGCCAAATACTGCAAAGTCTGACTATAATTGATGAAATGCTAAGAGTCGATGTACAGCCTCCAACAGGAAATGTGTTTCCTTAGAGGGACCAAATCACTGATCCTTGGATTGGAGGGGTGTTTCCCAAAGGGGAAAGAAGACTTGTATTACTGAGGAAAGATGAAATAAGTTTAGGGGGTACATGAAGAGTCACTGAGTTATATTAAATAACCTAATGAAAAAGTGATTTATTTTTTTTAGTTCCCTTTCGTTTGTGATTAGACCAAGAAGAAAGCCTTGGTTTGGTGCCGATAGTCTTTAGCTTTTCTCTAATTTGTACTAATCACTCTTTCTGACTAGGAAAATACAGACCTCAGACTTAGCCCCCAGCAGACACCTGTATCTAGCTAGAACTTACTGTAGCTAGATACAGTGTGAGCAACAGAGTGAGATTCTGTCTCAAAAAAAAACAAGGCCGGGCACGGTGGCTCAAGCCTGTAATCCCAGCACTTTGGGAGGCCAAGGCGGGTGGATCATGAGGTCAAGAGATCGAGACCTTCCTGGTCAACATGATGAAACCCCGAATCTACTAAAAATACAAAAAAATTAGCTGGGCATGGTGGTGCGTGCCTGTAGTCCCAGTTACTCTGGAGGCTGAGGCAGGAGAATTGCCTGAACCCAGGAGGCGGAGGTTGCGGTGAGCCGAGATTGCGCCATTGCACTCCAGCCTGGGTAACGAGAGCGAAACTCCGTC